TCCAGATAAAGTTTGGCTTCTTAGCAATACTTAAATCTTCATTTAGGTACAGTTTTTTGCTGTTCTTACGTATACGATTACACATGATCGCATACACTTTGCACCATAGCATCAGTTAGAACCGTTTTATGGTTGTCGTGGAGGCATTGTTTATCCTCTTTTATAGAAGAAGTTCCGTCGAATTTTCTCCATGCAGTCTTCAAAATTCTTGTGCTTACTGCGAATGTGACAAACATTGTTTGTAATACTGGAATCGTGTCGCAATGTGATACGTTTGAGTCAGTAATCAGAGGTAGGAAGTATTTATAAGTATATTTGCGCTTATTTGGAGTAGCTTGGTTAAGGCACCTTTTCTTATCAAATTTTTGAGAGAACTTAACTATAAAGTGCCACTGCTTCGGTCTATCACCTAGTTGCCAAAATTTTGAGAAGCAATCTACCCTCTGTTGATGAGAAATCTTATCAAAACATTTGTAGCGGCATTTGCATGGTAGTCCTAATGTTTTTTCATCCTTAGCTACTCCACGTTTACTCATATACTTCTGTCCCGAGTTTTTCAGACACTTTCTTTTAACACCAGACCACTCTTTCTGTCGCCTTGGTCGTTTTTTAGTTGTTTTAGGTGTTGCGCTGCTTTTATTTGTAACAGAAGAGCTTGCACTACTAACCGAAGGGGAAGGCACCTGGAGAACATATTGTTTTTCGTGATCTGCACAAAACTCGTTGTCACAGACGGCATGAAAATTAAAATGTGATGGCATTGGTGTTAAACTACAGCTACAGTCTATACAAGTGGAAGTAGGTGTAAAGTCAGAACATTCCAATTCATCGATTTCTATCGTCGAATAATGTCTAAAACTCTGAGAAGTCTCAAGAGCAACGGGAGTCAAAGGATTACTTTCATCTTCCAGAGCATTATAGTCCACAATATTCTCTGTCCTTAAAACATCAACTATTCCCTGTAGTTCGGAATAAATTTTTTCCGCACCAGGAATTACATGTGGTGTGGTAATAATTAATTACATTTATTTATCTTCTTCTTAAGGTGCCGTGCATTTCTGCGTAGGCGTCCACCGTACATCGTCTTGTCAGGTGAGATGTTAAATAGTCAGGATTAAATAATTCTGTTTTTACCAGCATTGCTAAGCATTTCATAGGTGTGGATTCCTGTCCATTGTCGAATATTGCGCAGCCATGACATTTTTTTACGTTCCAGACCTCTTCTACCCTCTATCTTCCCTTCGAGTATCAGTTGCTGAAAAGTGTATCTTTCTCCTCGTAATATGTGCCCCAAGTATGCAATCTTCTTACTTTTTACATAACTAAAAAGTTCTCTATCCTGTAAGCCCGCTCTTCTGAGTACTTCCTCATTTCTGACCCTGTTCGTCCATGATATTCTAAGCATTCGACGCACCACATTTCAAACACTTCAAGTTTGTTAATGGAACTGGCCTTTAACGTCCATGCTTCCATTCCGTACAGGAGAACAGGCCACACGTAACACTTAAGCATCTTATATCGGAGGTTGAAGTCCAATTTGCGATCAGTTAAAAACTTATGAAGCCTCAAAAAAGCATTTCTGGCTTGTTCAACTCTGCTCTTTATTTCATTTTCGGGGTTCTAACCCTCGTTCAACAAACAACCCAAGTATTTAAATTGCCTGACCTGTTCGATTTCTTCTCCAGAGACATATATCTTTGCGTTGGGGTAATCATTTCTATTTATAATCATTGTTTTTGTCTTCTTGATATTTATTTTCAAACCCCGAGCTTCACTTGCAAGAGTTAGATCATTTAAAAGGTATTGAAGATCTTCGATGTTATCTGCCACTATGGCTGTATCATCGGCATACCTGATGTTATTAATAAATATGCCGTTAACTTTAATACCTTATTAGAGTCTGCCACTGCTTCTGCGAAGGCTTTTTCTACATATAAATTGAACAGCATTGGAGACAGTATACAACCTTGCCTTACTCCTTTTTTAATGGAGAAATCTTCTGTTTCGTTGAAATTATGAAGACATACTGTTGCTGCCTGGTTCCAATACAGATTAGCGATAGTTCTTATATCCTTGGCATCCAATCCCAACTCTTGTAGGTATTTTATCATCAATTCGTGTTTTACATTATCGAATGCTTTCTCGTAATCGATGAAACAGACAAAAACATCCTTTCTTTGATCTAAACAATTCTGTATTAATGTTTGCATACTAAAGATCGCTTCTCTCGTGCCAAGTCCATTTTTGAAACCAAACTGACGCCATCCACTGATCTCTTCACATTTCTTAAACAATCTAGTGTGAAGTATTCTCAGGAAAAGTTTTTAAAAGTGACTCATTAAGCTTATTAGTCGGTGGTCCTTGCAGAAGTTCGCATGTGGTGTTTTTGGTAGAGCGATAAATGTAGATCGAAGCCAATCTTTTGGAATCTGGCCCGTATCGTAGATGTTAAAGAGCTTGAAAATAATGTCTAGGTTTTCTTCATTGAGTAACTTGATTGTTTCTGCGTACATATCATCTGGTCCTGGGGTTTTGTTACTTTTTAATAGTTTGATAGCGTGTACAATTTCTGCTTTGAAACTACTTGGGTCATACAAATGGTTTTCCAGTTGTGGTGGTTTTTGTGTTCTGTCATCATTGAACAAATTGGCTGTGTACATTTTCCAAGTATTAAGTATATCGCTAGGGTCCGTTAATAGTTCATTTTGGTCATTATGTATACCAGTGATTTGTTTTTTCTTGAAGAGACCAGCAATTTCCTTAATTTTCTTGTGAAGATTGGAGCTGTCGCCAAGTTTATATAGGTTTTCAGCCTCGGTGCAAAGTTTAGTCATCCAGATCTCCTTCGCCGCTATAATTTCTTTACGAATTTGACTGTGTATATTTCGGTACCCTACTTGGTCCTGCCTAATCTTACACTGCCTGCGTTGTTCCATCATCTCTAATATTTCTTCTGTCATCCACTTGGTAGTTACTCTCGAGTAGAAAAGTGTTGTTCACCTCATCAAATGATTCTTTTATGGTGGTCCATGACTTTTCAACATCATCCTCAGTTGCCATATTAGAGATCCTGTTGTTTATTTCCTCTGTGTACGCTTCACTTGTTTCATTGTTTTTGAGTTTTCTAACGTTTACTTATGCCTTCTGGTGTTTTCTTTTAGCTGTAGCGAGCCTCAGTTTGATATTTGCTACTAAGGGATTGTGGTCGGATCCTATGTCTGCTCCAGGTAATGCAGCTACCTTAGTAATAGCATTCCTGTACCTTCTATTAATTGTCACATAATCTTTTTGGTTCCTTATAATGCCCTGATGTCCATCTAAAGGCGACTTCCATGTGTAAAACCTCCTGGGAGGTAACTTATACCAAGTATTCGTTATCACTAGATCTTTGTCTTGGCAGTACTGTATCAATCTGTCCCCTCTGTCGTTTCTCTAACCAAGACCATATTTTCCAATTTCCCCAATTTTTGCGTTAAAGTCTCTTAATACGATGTTAATTTCGTGATTCTTAGTCACCTTTAAGGCTTCGTCTAGCTGTTGATAAAATCGCTCTAGTTCTTCTTCTGGCTTGTCTGCTGTAGGGGCGTAGACTTGTATAATATTTATGTTAACTTTTCCATGCAACTTAATAAGTATGACTCTTTCGGAGATCGGGACAAAGTTCTTCACGGAGACGCGCAAATTTTCGCTTATCAGAACTCCCACCCCATGTCTGTGGTGAGGGTCTATGCTATCACTTCATGAGTAATAAAGGGTTTTACCAGTAGTATTGATCATGCCTGTGTCTTCCCATCACAATTCGCTTATGCCGAGAATATCGATGTTAATTCTGTTCATTTCCTGAATTAGATTTTGTAGTTTGCCTGCTGCAAATAAGCTTCTGACATTCCACGTAGCAATTTTGGTTATCTTATCAAGTTGAAACCGGGAGATTCTTCGCACCCCTTGGCCATTTAAGGCCTGCCCGGGACTAGGGGCCGTTTGTTTTGTTTCTTCCAACATGACAAAAAATTCTACGGACGGATGTCCTGAGGAATATAATGCGGTAGTTTTCTACTTGCTTTCCGCATCGCAGTACCGTAGCCCTCTAACTACGGTATTCTAGTGAGAAGCCGGTTTAGGATAATTTCCTTTACGCCTAATTCTAATACTGGTGATCGCTGCTGCCCTTTACCAGGTTGATTCTATACTATCCCTAGAAACGGGGTTGCCACTTCCGTTGAATTCACTGTACCGAATACTATATTCTCCACCTTCCTCATCGTTGTGGTCTTCACTCGTATCCCTGGGCAAGGGGGGCCGTGTTATACCCCACGGAACTGGGTCCCTATCTGAACTTAGCCATCTCCTAGCTCCGGCCTACTGAAGCAAGAAATGCCCCCCCCCCCCCAGCGACATGGACGCGCCAGACAGGATTTACTCATATGAGCATATTCATATTACTCATATGAAGGTGTCTCTGTGCCGTATGAGCCGAATTAATGTGTGATTCCATTCCCAAAGGCCCATTTATTTATCTATCCAGTGTTTAATAAGCAAGAATTTTCTTTAAATTTGGAATATTTTAAAGCGAAAAACGTCTTAACGTATTTCATCTCCGAGTAGAAATTCCGGATTTTACATAGAACTTATAATTTTACTTAGAACTTTCAGTGAAAATTGTCCTATGTAAATATGAATCATTTAATATTTCATCGGAATCTATAGAAAAATGTTCTATCTTTTGATATGCTTCAACATTTTGCATAGAACGTTAACCTTGTAAAAAGCAAATAAGGTTATAGTTAATATATATTATTAATACGTATTAGTAGTATTAGTAGTATTTTAATGCATGTAAAGATTATCACAACTATATCGAATAACGTCATATGTGGATATATTTCAACAAAAAACTATTTTTTGAAAAGCACTACTATAATTATCCTGTTTTTGTTGTTTTTTTTTTATTTGAATGTTAATGTTTGGTTTTAAATAGAGTATTTAGTACAAAAACTTAC